GTTTACTTTTGGTGCCAGAAGCAAGTGCATTGACATTTGTATTTGAGATGTACTTCATATTAATCCTACTTCTTTCATACATTCTCATCAATTCTTTGTGAGCAGGAGCAGTTTAACTGGCACAATCGCTTTAGTTAGATCACATAAGTTTGAGCAGTGTTTGACAGAAAAGGTGTAGTTATTTCAGGCTTATTGTAAAAGCAGAGTGGATGCTATATGGAATATAAAAATGACTGTGAAAACAATTTGAGGAATTTTCTATGCAGGTTTTAAAGACTTTGCCGTTTTCAATTTGAAACGAGCAGCTAGCTACAAAATAAACTGGCTTTATGAAACGTTTACGTTTCAGTTTCAGCAAGAAAAGCTCAAGCGAAGCAATCAGAATATCTCTAACAGCATTTGGAGCTGTTTCCAAGGCGTTGGGCTTTCTGGGTCAGTGTCATACTCACACCTGATTAGAACAGACAATTCTTGGGTTCAGTCCTGGGTCGTTCATTACAAAATCCTCTATTGCAGGCCGGTGCCACATCAGAAAAACATATTTTACCATTGCAGAAGTGGATAAAAAGTAAATATAGGGAAAAAATTGTAACCCTAACCCTAACAATTTCTTCACAATGTGTCTAACTTCCTATTCAAAATCTGTGTACATGAACATGTTACAGTGGCAGAGAAATAAGCCATAGACTTAATGACTTGGCTCATGGTAAATATTATAAAATAGTCCATACAACATAGACAAAATTGGGTAATAAAGTAAAACAAAATTACCTAAGAGAAAATCTATGTCCTGGAAATGGTGGAACTTATTAATTGGGCTTGTGGAGGTGACCAATTAAAAAAGCGATTTTCATCAGTGGCAGGGAACTTTGCTTTTCAGAGCAAGTAATAACCTTCCTGTTGCTTAACATTCAATTTAACTAGGTGACTGTTTTTAATGTATCTTGCCTGTTGGGAAACAGAAAAATGCTCAAGAAAACTTGAAAATGAAAATCTAGAGATCTTTTAATTGAGGTGTGGGTCCCATTACTTATGGAAACGTTGCTGAAGCTGCACTAAATTAGGCATGGCAGAATGTAAGCTATATCCTCGATGTTAAGAAATACGATCAATGTTCTGTTCTTGTTTATTACTGGAACAAATTAATATGCAAGAGGCCAAAGCTGATTTTCAGCGGTGTCTGTTTTACAATCACCAACTTAGACGTGTGTTGCTCATGCCGCGTTTGATCAAGTCATGAGCAGAAGAGAGTGTATAATGGGGCTGGATAGACAAGCCAAAGGCCATTTCATAAATATGGAGAAGAGGACAGATGGAGTCTAGAGACACATTGCATGTTAATTATGAGCACATCTCTTTTCTCTGTGAGGGGGTTAAATTACAAAGAGCAGTCCACGAAACTTTGATTTTTATGAAAGCAAGACAAAAATGAGCATTAAAAGGCTCACAGCATTTCATCACAGTAGCATCTAAGTGGTTCAAACAGCAACAACATAAACAATAAATTAAGGACTTGTCAAAATTTCGTTAGTGTCGCTAACTGAAAAATGAATCCGTTTTCATTCAGAGCTTGCAACATTGTTTCTCCCTTAGTGGCATGAACTGTAGTTTTGTGCTTTGCCAGACAAGCTCCAGCTCGACCCAACCAGCTGACGCAGTTTTCAAGCCTCGCCTCTTGTTGTTCAGGAAGAATGCTTTGTGACAGGTTGTCGAAGATGACTGCGGGCAATGAACCTCATTGCCAATCACTGAAATGCGCATGACATGCATACACACCCTACCCAAATCTGGCAAAGCACTTCAAAAGACGTAGACACACACAGCCAAAGACAAGACTCACTGTTATGCACAGGCAAGATTTCTTAAGTCAATGCCCTTTGTGGTGGATGAGCTTATGAATGAATTAGACCAATAAAATGGCCTCTATTTAGCTATAAGTAAACATAAACCAATGTATCATTTGCTGAAACCTTTTTATCATTTGTGATGCCTTAACGGTGTGTGAAAACGCAATAAAATTTTTAAAATATCATTAAATGTGAGCTGGACCCCTCTCATCTAATTTCAATCTTAATGTACCTCTTGTGGCAAGCAGCATACTTGCTGGGTTTGTGATTACAGCAGCAAATTATAATGTCACCCCAGAACCATTAAGCAGATTCATCGAACTAAAGAACACTGTCTCTGATTAAATCAGAGGCAGCCACTTTAACTTGTTGCATGCTGGGCAAGTAGCAGCAGGGAAGAGCCTGCTGCTACAGTGTTAAAAAGTAATTTTAGCCAGGAATTAATAAGGATATATTAAAACTGTAAAGTTAAGTTTGTACCTAAATAAATGCATTGTTTAAGACCATCCATGCATTACAGCACAATAACAGTACATCTGTATCTGCCACAAAGGATATATTTTTTTAATTTAATTGAATTTTTTTTTTAAATTAAAATTTAATTTAAAATTCAAAGATGAAGTCAAGGGCGTGAATCCCATCTGATTATTAGGGGGGACATAAACTGGGAAATTTTTCAAGGGCAATTTTGGTGGTATCGGCAAAGTTACAGTCAAATGCAACATAAAATGTGGTTTAAAAATATGTTCATGTTTCATGCCTTTGGATGACTGAGAACCTATAAATATGTAGAAATTGAATATTTGGGAAGTATTATAATTTTAACTTAAGGGTCAGAACCAGAGTTTTCTAGAACAATATTCTGATTTTATTTTGTGGTTTTAAAGGCTCCATGTTGAAGACGATACTTTCTTTTGTTTTACTGTCTGCTGCAGTACCTCCTCTGGTCTCGGATCCCATACAGAGCTGTCGGTGAGTGCTAAGGCTCAGCTGCTTCCTCCAGTTTCAAACTCTTCTTATTAAAGTAAGAGTTAGAGAGCTAAATATAATTGAAATACTGGTTACCTTTGACAGAAATAGAAGCTAAGTCTATGAAAGCAATGGAACAACTGAATATTTGAAAAATAAGATTAGCCAGTCAAATAAAATGGACAAGTGACGCTGTCTGTGCAGGATGTTTTACTTACAAGGTACATAAAGACAATTTTAGACAAGTCAATTTTTGTAATAAGACTTTTTATTTTTCTAAACAAGACTAAATAGATGCCTAAAACAACCAGTGACCAGAAATAAATCTTCAGTAGCTTGGGTTCAGTGCAACTAACTCACTACACCTTCATTCACCAGCTGTAATAGAAATGCTTCACTGGAAAAGTTATTTGATTTAATATTTTTAGTGTTGTAGGTTTTATTAGAACCTTCACATAACATGAAACAAGAACAGCAAGATCAATAGAAATGATCTAGGTGTGGAAAAGATAGAGAAGCCACCTCTCACTCATTCATCTCTATCACTATACTTTGAGTTATGTCCATTTTGCCGGTAAAAATCCTCCCAGACTCTTTCGTTTAGGTGTTTCTGTTTTTGCAAATATCTCTGTTGCGCAACCATTAGCTCAGGGTTGTGCAAGGTATAAGCATCAATTTTGCTGTGAACCATTTTAGAAGCCCACAGCAACAACCATAAAATTTGCATAAAACCCGAGTGGATCTGATGACGAGCAAGATCAGACATGCTAAATAAGATTAGCCAGCCAAATAAAATGGACAGGTCATGCAGGCTGTGCAGGATGTTTTACTTGCAAGTCAGACAAAAATAATTTGCATGTCAGGAAACAACTTTGGACAAGCCAATTTTTGTAATAAGATTTTTTTATGTTCCTAAATAAGACTAAATAGATGTTTAAACTGAGCAGTGACCAGAAAAAAAATCTTCTGTAGCTTGGGTTCAGTGCATTAATTCACTACACCTTCATTCTTCTAAAATCTGTTTTCCTACATGCAATCAATTACCTGTATCCATCAAAACATAAAATTCTAAAAATCTTTTGATTCTAAATGTCTTTTCAACATTTATTTATTAAACTTATCTAGAAATGCTTCACTGGAAAAGTTATTTGATTTAATATTTTTCGTGTTGTACGTTTTATTAGAACCTTCACATAACATGACACAAGAACAGCAAGATTAGCCACAACAAGCAGAGTGATCTACTACCGTCAGCTTCCCTCCCAGCTTCAAATGGCAGACAAACAAATTTAGCAACAAGCTGGAAAACAGTTAGTGAGGCCTTTGGGGCCATATGGGCCTGTTTTTCAGAAAGGAGATGTCAATGAAAGATAAAATGAGCGTTCATTGACAGAATGAAAAAAAAAAAAAAAATCCCAGTTCTTTTTGATAGTACTTTAAAGTAATTTACAATAAACTCAATTGCAAAAACATGATGAAATCAAAGAAAAGCCCCACTGGTTATGTAAACGTCAATATTTCACCAGTAAAATTATTCTTTTGGAGAAATATTGTACCTTTCTTCATTTTTTCCACTCAAAATATCAGAATTTGATGAAATAGAGTATTTTAGAGTATTATTGTGAAGTCATAAAAAGTGGTGCTGGAAAAACTTTTTCACCATATTCTGAATCTTCACCTAGTCCTTCAAAAGTAAATCTTCTACATGACCACATCCGCATCCTGTCCATCCTTCCCTTCAACCCCTGTCTGGAATAAAACTGTAAACCCCTATTATTGTGGTGATGCCCATGCTAATGAATACTTTTTTCATAGTTCTACTTTTACTATCACTACTACTACTACAACAAACAATAATTATCCGTCTTTACATCCTGGCCAGTTCAAAAGTCTCTCACCAGGACAGAGACACATGGGACAAATGCACACACAAAAACATAGACCTTAGGGAAATTTGTAGTACTTAATCTGACAGGCATGTTTTGTTTTTACTGAGGAAGGAAGCTGGATAACCCGTAGATAAGACAAGCATGCACTGGGAGTGTTAACAACTGTACAGACAAGCAACCAAAAATATTATACACATTTCAGGGAATCAAGATCCTACGCTGGAGGTTTTTTTGTCCAAGATCCAAAAGATTTGTGAGGATTTTATTTTGAAGGAACTCACCGGATGTCGTTTTATGAGTCACATGGTGCATTTGGTGAGAAGCACTACACTGTGCTGCCAATTACTCGAGAAGAGCCGTACTCTCTGATTTTATTCCGCTGACGGTAGGTAACTTACTAAGGGTAGCATGTCTGCTAATGTTGCAGGTCATAGTTCCCGTGTTTCTGGGCTTATTGCTTGAATGTGATGACATAACGAGCATGTGAGTGTCTTTGCTCAAAGTTCAAAGTTTACAGCGTGTTCAGGAGCAGGGACTCTTCCTTTAAGTGAAAACAGCTGCCTTCATAAGAAGTTTATGAATGAACGTAAACATACGGCGGCTAAATAACTGCATTTAATATTTTATTGAAGTACGCTTATGTAGTTTGACTTCTTAAGCGACAACAATAGTTTGTAACTTTGGTGTTTAGTGGCTCTATGCAGATTTAGTATAGTACATGTGCATTTAATAATACCTCTGCTAACATGTTGATTTTAATCATTTGTTAGAAATGTCCGGGAAGAACGCCCAGCCCAACTTCAGCCCCTCTCAGGTATCTGAGGTCATGAAGAGGCTCTACAACCTGACCACTTCAGAAATACGCCCTCTGCCCAGCTATGATGACCAGAACCTGTATGTGGCTCCCACTGAGGGTGGCGAGTACGTCCTAAAAATCATGAACACGGAGGACAGTAAGAACCCCACCATCATTGAGTTGCAGACCCATGCCATGTCCTTTCTCTACCAGAATGGACTTCCTGCTCAAACAGCCGTGCCTACCACCTCAGGACAACTCATGAGTCTGGAAGAAATGGGTATGAGTCAAATTAGTTCAAATTTGTGGAGTGGAGCTGAAAGACACAGACCTGTCTTCCAATTGCTTTGAAACACACGCTTATATTAGGACTGAAGGCGAGTTAAGTCTAAGCATTCATCAGGTTTGTGTATGTCTTCTCTTGAAGATGGATTCATGCTAGTTTAGTTTTAGCTGTAGTTCTGTCTTTCATAGAAACATTGATTCATGTCACGCTGCTTTTGAAATTGCTATTGTGATCTCAGTGGTGCAAACTCATTTTGAAAGGGGATTTGAGTGGATAGAGTTTTTGCATTTAGCTGGTTCTTTAGAAATTGCACTACAGATCTCTTCGAATATGACGCAATCTTTAGTGTTGACGACTAAATTCCAATGAATCTCATAGATGTTTTGTCGCTGCAATGAACGTAAATACCTTTTGTGAGGCACTGTAGCTATTTCAGGTTGCTTCATTAAATTATTTAAATTCTGAAATTTTGTATGTTGTTAGGGGTTTATTTTCCAGTCATGTGTAAAATAGAATAATACTTAATATTATCTGCTGCAGCGAGGGACCTTGATCTTACGCCGTGCCAGACACCCTGCGTTGGCATACAGAAAACAATGTCTGTAGTTTCTCTCCAAGCCCTTTCTCTCTCCCAGGGTCACAAGTTCACAACCTCATTAACATTGATAGCCACATACAGCTGTAATAAGGAACACTCCTTTGTAAAAGATCACAGCACATTAGTTCTTTATTTGTATGGTTGAAGATTGAGGAAAATAATCGCAAGGATACTTCTGTCTTTTTCTGTGAAAGATTGTGGGTATGGCTGTCAGAAGTACTTGGTCCGGCTGCTGACTTATTTACCTGGAGTGACTATTTCTAAGGTTCCTTTTACACCACTGTTATTATATGAGACTGGCAGGATGGCTGCTAGAATGGATGAAATCCTTCAAAAGGTAAGATGGATACACTCCAGCGAAATCTTAACATTTTATTTTAAAGCAAAAATGCTGCTAATGAAAATGTTTGAAGTTGTTTCATTACTTTGAGTGCATCTTGCACTGCTAAGCTTTCAAAACTAAAACAAGCTGACTATGTACATTCTTATTTTACTTAGCTGCTTTAGTTTTCATTTTAGATGGAGCACCCTCATCTCGGCATTCTCGAGAGGAAGAACTTTATCTGGAGCCTGTCAAACATTTGCCTCCTGGAAGGATACATGAGTGTACTAGACGGAGATCCACTTCAGGAGGTTGTGAAATCTGTTATTGATCAATACAAAAACTCTGTGATCCCCAGACGATCCAATTTTCGCAAATGTGAGTACATTTATTTGCTTGAATCCTTGTTGGAAATTTTTTTGTTCCTTTTGAAGATTTAATGCAGGCACAGATGAGCTAAAGGTTTTAGTAAAGCTGTTTCCTTTCTGTTGTAAGGTATTAATCATGGTGACTTCAATGACCTCAACATTCTCGTGCAACCCGATGACAATCAGGGCTACAAGATTTCTGGCATCCTTGATTTTGGGGACATGAACAGTGGCTACTACATTAATGAACTTGCCATCACCATAATGTACATGATGATTGAGCATCCTGATCCCATCGAGGTGGGTGGGCCTGTCCTCGCAGGCTGGGAAAGTCTCATCCCCCTCAACAAGGACGAGAAAGACTCCCTCTATGTGCTGGTGCTCTCCCGCTTCTGCCAGTCACTGGTTATGGCAAGGTATTCTGTGATGCTGCACCCAGAAAACGAAGAGTACCTCATGACGACTTCCAGAAAGGGAGTTAAGATCCTCCACAGGATCTGGGAATTGGGCAAAGAGCATGTGGAGAAGGTTTGGTTTGACCATGCTGCTCAGCTCAGTGTTTGAATAGAAAAATATATAAATAATCTATTCAAACCCTTTCGTTCGTTAACTTTAGTTAAAGAATGAAAGAAATACTGCAGTAAATTATAACGATTAATAATTATGTATAATGATTTGTACACAGTGTTAAGTCAGATGATTATGGCACATAGATAATTAAAACCCAAAATAAAATAGCATATTATGTAAAAACAAAATAGTTTTAGATATATTTTCACATAGGATACAGTTTATTCTCTTTGTCTGGACCTCTGGAGTGAATTACTGGATCATGGCATGGAAGTGATCAGTTTTGCTCAGGTGCTGAAAAAAGCCCAGATTGCTTGAATAACTGTAATGTCTGCATGCCTGGTTCTACCTTCTTGATCATACCCTAAAGATATTTTTGTGGTGTTTAGATTAGGCTTGTTGTCATTATACACGGTGATACCATTGGTTTTTAAAGTATGTTTTGGTGCCTTCTACTGGAAAATATACTCAGCATCTCTATAAAACTTTGATGGAAGCATAAAGTGCTCTAATATTTCCTGGTAGATATGTCTGTGCTCACTTTGGACTTGACAATAAGCAGTAAGTCAGCATCAGCAGGTGGCATGGCTCCCCAAGATTTCCACTTGCTGTGGAAATTTCACATTACAGTATTTTCTTTTGGCTGTGCAGATCACACTATTATAGATTGTTGAAACAAATCGGTACATGTGTTTTGAATTTGAGTTTCACTTTTTAAATAGAATTACTATTTTTTTGAATGATATTTTAACTTTTGAGATACACCTGAAACCGTATCCTAAAATATGATTAGCAGAGAATATTTCACCAGTTTCTGGATTAACTGAGTGCTAAGGCGTCAAGTCTTTTGGGTTTTTAGAACTTCAGTACAGTGAGACCTGCTCTAAATAACAGTCACTCTCTTGTGAACAATGCCTTTTATTTTAGTATTCAATGCTTTACTAAAATAACTGCATTTATTATATCATAAGGCACTTATGTATTTGATTTCCAAGAAAATATTATACGTCAAGATAATTTTGTAAAAGAAAATTCAATTAAGAAGGAAATAATTTCTCCTCCATAAAACATTGGTCCACATTTAAAACATTCATTTGGGAATATTTCACATTGAATGTGAGGAGAAGTGACTTGATTTTGTACATTTCTTTTAAAAAAAAGCAACAAATGTTGGAATCTGCGATAATTTCTGTGCCTTGTTAGAAACTTTTCTTTCTAGTAATGTTTATTCTTACAAGAATTTCACAACTTAAAGTTGTTAATTCCAATGATTTACAAATAAATAGCTGAACATTTTCTTTTCCATCTTTATATTATCACTAATGCATCTTTATTGGACATGCTTTTATATTTTTCAGTGTACCGTATTTCAACCATACCAGGTGAAATGAGGTGCTTAAAAGTTCTTAAAAGCTTAAGAGCATCTTCTACACTTCATGTAGAAGATGCTTCATGTTCAGGATCTAGAATAAAATGATCACACAGAGTTGTCAGGTGAACTTTTCCTATTCTGACTTGCACATGTATGTTGTTCTTATGGAACCTCTTTGGTTTCTGATAAATTATTGATTTTTTTGTATTATTAATGTAGAATAATACCATACCAGCAGTCTAGATAAAATATGATGTAATACTGCCCTCGTGTGGTGGCTTTTACAACTCCACTGTAATAAAACTTTCAATGGGGATAAATGAAAGTACAGCATAGCAATAAATAATTTTAATTTCAAAAAGCAAAGTCCTGTGTGTCGTTATGTTGTCCTGTGATGAACTAGCTGCCTGTCCAACATCCACCTTTGTGACCATACTTTGTGACTCTGCAAAGTATCCAAAACTGGATTGAATTGAGCTGTGTTAATACATTTTCCAAATAATTTTGAACTAAACTGTTTTTTTGAGAAAACTAAAGTATCGCAGTACTAATAGTGGGGTAAAGCTCAACTCAAGCAAGATGAAAATAGAATGACAATCGTTTTTTTTTGTTTTGTTTTAGAAACATCTCCAAATCAAAAATGTTTCATTATCACTCCAGTCTTTAAGTCCTAAAAAAGTGCAAGTTAAAAACATTTTCTTAACATTGCATTGATCTACAGAAGATTGACAGGACAGTCACATGTTTGTTTAAATGCTAGTCATTTAGTCATTGTGAGAAAACATATTTTTCATTGTGTCTTCAGTGTTTCTTTTAGGTACAACTAATATCAAGAGCACTACAGACTTCTTTTAGTAGGAACTTCACTGATTACTGACAACCATGTAGAAAGGAAAAGCAATAGCTCTATCTGCAGCGTATCAAATTTTACAGTATTCAGCTTTCAGCGTAGGTATGCAGACCTGTCAGTGTTACTCAGCGCAGAAGTCCTAATCAACTCAGCTGTTTATAATGACACAGATGGTAAAGTTTAGGTTATTAGGTTAAACTCGTTAACTTCACAGCCAACATTATGCTTGGGCTTACATATGGTTGAATTTATAGATTAATGTGGCTGCAGTTAGAGTAATCAGCAGTGCAGGCTGCCAGTGCTGTGGATAGAAAGCGCTTGAGGGGATTAAGAAATAAGTTTCAGCTTTCATACATCTGCAATGAGAATGAGGAGAGGAGTGTTTTATGGTGAAACACCACTGCCTCTCTCAGGCTCACCTTTTGGCCCACATTAAACATTACATTACTTGGTGAAGTCATGCTTTTACACTTGTAATTCCAAGTGTAAAATCGTAATATGTTTGTTTTTGTTTGTAACCACATCTCAATGTAGACACAGCGGTTATGGAAATACTAACGCAGATTCTGCAGTCTGAAAATTTAAAGTTGGGATGTTTAAGTTGATGGTATGACATACTCTATAAAAATGAATGTTTTGTTTTTGTTTCATCCAGAAAAGAGGACACTTCTTTTATTTTAGATTTTTTTTTGGTGTTATTTAAATTATAAAGTCTATAGTAGAAAAAGCCTAAAATACATTTTTTCATTCTGCCCTTTGATGAGGCACACAATGAAGAGTGATGAATCTCCTGCCTTCTTAGATATTTTGCAAGATGTTTTGAAGGCTTCTGGAATCATTTGGGCTGACGTTTCTGTGGTCAATAAATTATGCTTTTCAATGTCTCAATGCAGTGTAAGAATTTCCACAAATAGAGTAAAGGTTTCCTAATTCAAATGCTTCATCAGGAAAATAGACCACAAAAAAAAAAAAAAACTCCATCAGACTGCAACTAAAAGAAAAGTGTTTTGAAAAATTTAATTTATGCCAAGTCTTGAATTTAGTTTTGAATATACATTTTTAAAAGAAAGAAGATATGCTCCAAAACTTCCTGAAAACTTAAATGCATGTCTGATATTTTGAAAATAATTGCAAAAACACCAGCATAGTTTCACACAAAATGTAGAAATCAGCCTAGCGTACAATGCATGACAACTATTTGTAGCAACCACAACTCAGAAAACTGTCCAATTGATTGGTCTGAGTCCAGTTTCTAGCTTGAATGGAAGCTCTGTATTGAATCTATTTGTTGGAAACAATTTTCTCATATAAACCAGACAGAATCCTCTGGCGAACCAGCCAAACAACAGCCACCGTTAAAATGTGAGTCTCTCCAGCATCACAGAGGAAGAAAGCAAGAGTGAGATTTTCCCCCACAACATTTCATCATATTTCAGATAAAGGTTCCACTAAATATTGCATGTTTAAACTATTTAAACACTTTCAAGCGGTCAGTGATGAACCTTGTGATGAATTCCAAGCTAATTGGAGGTTTAAAGAAAATAAAACGGTTATCTTTGTGATACCTAAATCAACTATAAATGGCTTTCGAATAAAAAAAAAAGTTTGAAAAAAAGACGAGATATTCATTGTTTTTGACAAACTAGCTTTCAGTTTTGACAAAGATGCTATATTTTGTTTTGTGTAAATAATTCAGTCAAGCTGACAGCTAACACAGGCAGAAGAGCAAAGAGTGTGTGGAGTTGAAAGATTGCAATTAAAGTTTCATTATATCTCTGTCAGTGTGACTTTTTTTTTAATAAGATGCACTGTCTCATATTTCAGTCTGCACTCTGAAATATGTGGATAAGTTCAGGTTTTCATCACCCATCATCCCCCCTAACAAATGACAAGCAGGGTGTGTGTGCAGGAAGCCATTCAGTCTTCTTTACAAGCTTACAACAAAGGCTATGGAAGTCGTGGTGTCCAGACCTGTTCGCTGCTTCCTCAGTATCATCAATCTGGAATTTGTTGATTAGTTGAAACTGATTTGCCTTTACCCCACTGTCTACAGCAATGGGGCATTGTCAATAAAAGCACTCCTGGTAAAAGCTGAATAAATATAATCAGTCACACTCATCTTACTTTGAAATTATGATGCACCAAGAATTTTCTGTAAAAGCAAACCTAATAAAAGTACGCCTAAAAGCACAAAAAAGAAATACAGCATTTGTATTGTAAAAAGGAAAAGTAATGTTTGGTTGCTTTCAAAGCACAGAAGCGTAGATGTACATGCCGACAGCTGATCTCAGGAAAAGCCATACGGCTACATGCATGTTGGCAGAAATAACTAAAATATAGTGACTTTAAGATGAATTTCAGAGCTATTCAACATCTTTCAAATGATTCATAACAGATAAAAATAGAAGACAATAATTATTATATATCATTTAAACTCTAGATGGAGCCATACTCCTCATTATATGTGCTGAACTGAAAGCTTTTCTATAATAAATCAGCTTTTCAAACTTACATTTTAGAGTGTTTTAGACTCAGCATTTATCAAAAGCTGGTGATCTTACACAAACTCTCAAAGGTTTGTCATTTATGCAAGTTAAGTACATCTTAAAAATGGGAGAACTATACAACATACCATTGAAACTAGACATTTAAATACACCATTCAAAAATACATACATGTGCTTCCTTACTGTGTGATATTGAAATCAGAATAAACTTTGAATGTTTTATATCAATTAAGATTGCCCATTTATTTCTAATTGACAAAATCAACAATACTTACTTTCTTCAGATATTCATATATATTACAGCTACTGCATCTATAAACAATTTTGGAAATTTCAGATTAAGATGTCATGTTTTCCCAATATAAACCAGTCAGGTCATCATAAATGGAAATAGAAATAAGGACATTCAAAGTTGCTCTCCTCTTGCCTGAAGATGTCATATTTATCTGTTCAAACAATAATGTAGAAGTGTCAAAACGAAGTGAATGTTCAGCCATCATTCTGGATGGAGACTGGTTCTGTCTCCCAGGAATAAATATATACTGGTACAAAATATGCATGTCAGTTCCAGTACCAAAACAAAAACTCTTGTAGATGTTGCCTGACACTTATAAAAACGGTCACTCAAGAGAAGAAGAAGCTTAAACCCAAAAGAAACATGAAAATCTTCTTACAGTTTGTAAATTTATTCTGGGATGGAAATCTTCTTTCCTGCAGAAATGTACTTGGTTTGTGTTTAGTCATGACCCAACTGTGATGTATGAAGGTGGGAACATTATGTCATGTGGATGTCTTTCCTATAGGAAAGATTGATGCAGTTCACAAAATAGATCATATTCCAAGGAGATTAAATTAAGTGAAAAGACTGAATCAATATCTCAAGAGATGAGCTAAAATATCAAAGCTTGGACACAAATGGATTTTCCAAATGAACAATGACCCTAAGAATACCACCAAAATAAACTACAAAGTGGCTAAAGGATAATAGAAATATTTGGGAGAGTTCAGGGGAGAACTAAAACTGTACTTTAACAGGGAGTCCAACAAACCTGAGACAGTTACATCAGTTCTGTCAGGAGGGATGGGCCAAAACTCCAAGAAACTATTATGAGAAGCCTGCAGAAAGAAACCCAAAATGTTTGCCCCAAGCAATTCTACAAGGTGATTTAATTTGACCAAATACCACTGAAATGTGTCGTATGCAATCTTCTGACTTTGAAGAAAGTTACAGTATATATTTTTAAAAAACATAATTTTCTGGCATTTACCTAATAAAATAACTGTAATCTTTAATGACCTTAAAAAAAAGAACTTCAGTCAGAATGAGGGACAATGAGAATAAAAAGTTATGTGTCTTTGCACACAGTCAATGTAAATCTCGAGTTTCAACTCAAGGTGGGTCAAAAAAAGAAGTAGATTATGTTTGTACCACAAAAGTCTGACCCAGACTCCTCTTTGTGTACCTTCAACCTCCCACCTCAAAGGCACCATCTGCCCTCTACCCCTGCTGCAGCAGCTCACGATATGGATCTCCACTCATGCAGAAAAAGTCATGGTATGAGTCAGTGAAAGTCTGCCGGGGTTCATGTTTGTTTCACCGCAGTTCATCAGCATTCAAAAACAGTCACTTCCAAAAGAGGCATACAAGTGACCTGTGCTGTTTCATCTGCCTTTTGTCTTTGACTAAAACTTTTCACTGATGTTCCACATCTTAGCCACAGCAGAAGCTAAACTGGCGTGACTCCATAATTCAACGTAATTTATCAGTGTTGGTAATCCTGCTGGGTTTTCAAACCATGCTTTCCAGGTTGAAGCAGTGCCTTTTTTAAACACACAGCAAGTTAATTAATTTACATTCCCACGAAAGTCAGTTTGTTGGCTTTTAACATTTGACAACATTGTTTAAAAAAATGCACGGCTTCAGAATCCGTGACGTTTCACCTTGGTTTCAGAAATGTCGATGTTTTTTGCAGCTCTTTCCAAAGTGTAAGGAGGTTAAAG